ATTTACAGAAAGCAATCATATCTCCTCTCAGCCTTTGGTTAGGCTAAACAAGCCAAGCTCCTTAAGTCTCCTCTCACAAGGTAGGTTTTCTATTCCTCTGATCATCCAAGGAGTCCTTCTCTGCCCCTGTTCCAGTTTGAATTCATCTTTCTTAAACATGGGAAACCAACTTCTTAGCCTGTTCAACTTATTTTGTTCCCTGCCCCAACTAACAGAAGCATGCATCCTGTGGTAGCTTTGAACCCTTAACTTTAGACAAGCAAAATTCTTATTGACTTGAATAGGAGTTTTGATTTAGTAAGGACTGCAGGACTTTGGCCAAAATAGCTATCTATAACTTCAGATAATGTGCTCTAATACAACAGCTGCCATTATTTGCCTCCTAAAACACCTATGGGCTAAAACGATAATGACCAATGTAGAGGGCTTTTACTTAGGCCACTTAAGATAGTTAGGCATTAGCTGTCAGGTCAGGCATTTTCCTGATCTAAGAAACCTAGCAATATTTTTTCTGTATCTGTTGAACTCCACATGTTATCAGTGATACAGTTTTACTCTACAGTATTGATCTTGCCCTAGCAATGAATGGCTGTTAGAGTAGCCAGCTGGAAAACAGGACTTTTTTCTAAACATACTATCAAACTAGATCTAAAATAAATCTCTCCCCATAACATGGCATCTTTGGCACAGCAGCATAGTGACCTAAAATAGTGCTAAGAGCAGGCTTAATAGGGAATTAAAAAATGTTTTGATGAAACAAAGAAAATCTCTAAATTGTTCTGTAGGGGGTCTGTCATTACACCTTGGCACATGCCTTATGATATCATTTTATCAGTTTTGCGTTATGCCATGCTAGTGTCCCTTTCATACAAAGGCAATTCAATTAGCATCTTTTGTCTGTACTATTAACATGCTTTTACTCACCCATTCTTATATAAAGTTTCAAAAATGCTTATTATAAGAAGCAGGGTTGATTTTAATAATGTGCCTTTCTATTCCTGCTCTTTTGCATCTTTGACAAATTGAGAGAGGGGGGGGGGTCTGTTCCTCTAGCATTTAAAAACGTAAGCTTTCACTAATTTTTTATTTTAGACCTTTAAAATTTGGGTAGTAAAAATAATCTCTATATAATTGAAACAAATAAAAGCTTGCAGTTGATTAGTTTTATAATATGTTGAGTGTATTCGTATGCCCTCTTGTGTTAAACAGGGGAATATTCAGTTGTTTATTGTTTTAAAGAAAGATGAAGCAAGCACATAAAATATTCCAAAAGCTAGTAGCAGCAGAGTGCTTGACCTAATTTTAAGGACAGACACAATCTGTCAACAATAATCTGTTCATATATTAAATAATAGAATAAAGATATAATTTACCTTACAGACCACAGCAAGCTTTTACATATACGTGTTCTACTACTAAAAATTCATCTTATTTTTTCTGATTTTATAACTTTATTCACAATTAATTAAAACTAAAATATCAGATTAGATGAAAACACAGAAAATCTGAAGATTTAGTTATGCATTTAAGATTAACTCATGATAAACTGACATGATATGAAATCTTCAGGGTAAAGAACAAATGTGGCCAGAAAGGTTAAAGGGGGAAAAAAAGTATATTAAGCTAACATTAAGACCATGTCATGAACAGACAAAAGTAAGGAAGTTCAAAGTTAAAACTGTCTACATTCTTTAATTCATCCTATCATGAAGCAAATCTCTTGGTCCCTAACTTTACATAGAATTTCCATGCATAGATAGATTTACAAATATAGTCCCTGAGATGTGCCACTGTGGACTAATCTGAGACCCAAATATTACCATAGGAGCCCCTTCAAGATTTAGACAAAACAGAACAACTTGAGGTAGAATGCATGGCATAACTCTGGATTTTGTTTTGTCTGCTTATAATACTGTGAAATTTACTTAAAATATTTGTTCTTCTTAAATGTAAAACAATTTCCTTTTTACTCAAATATATGAGAAGTGGGTTTATACAGATCAAGTACATTAATATAGTTTGAAGGTGCAGATTGATTTAACAGAATATTATAACTTCATCTGTCATTCAAATATGTATTAAGGGACTTCAAATCCAGATTATTAACCCAACAGATGCTCATAAAAGATGTCACATGATACTGTATATCATGCAAATCCATATTTACAGGCACTTATTTTATAATCATGTCTAAGCATACTTAAACACTCCAATTTGTGGGTCATTGCAATAATCCTGTGACTGGTTTTTAGAACCATAATGTTTTATTACATCAGTGAAACTGCTATGAATATGTATTTACAAGATCGGTGTCCTAAAAGCAATATACCACATTCTGGCTGAGAATAAAGTTATTGGTCTGTTGTAAATTTGCCTTTCCTAAATTAAATAGCTTAGTTGTTCAAACACTTCATCCACTCCTCTCTGACAACCTCACCCCCAATAAAATTACCCAAGACAGACCTGATTAAAGCATACACAATGTCATTGGGAATCTAATTATTTTGTGAGATGGAAACACCTACTGAAAAACACAAACCTATCATCAACAATTATTTTTTCTGCATTTCTATAATTTACAAATGCTTGAACAAACATTTCCCCTAACTATTAGGGAAAAAATAAAGATTTCTAGAGACTTTGACCCCTTAAAGTCAGGCCATTCAAATGAAATTTAACAGTTGAATTTCTGGTTCTTGGAAACTATCTGCATAATGGAAATGCTGACACAGCCTTAACTCTAGCAGTGAGAGTAGCATGGCTATAATAAATGAATCACTTACCATTTTCACGATTCTTTCCTCTCTCTAAGCAAATGCAAAATAGAGACTTTATCTGGCTCAGACATTAAACTGTCTAAGGGAACTGCTAAAATGAATTATTCACTTGAAGTCACTGGGGAAAAGAAGGCAAAATGGTAGTGGATGGCCAACATTAGAATTGTTGCAGAATAGAATTTCAGGAAATTGGATCCAGGTCAGAAATACAATTACTTAATGAAAGTGATCCTGTTTCACAGTAAGTCTTAGACCTATTAGAACAAGTCTCTATCATGTAAATCTTTTGGTGGACTATTGTAAGCAGATTTTTTTTTTAAAACACTGACTGACTTCTCTCAATTTTTTTTTAAATCATATTGCAAAATCCCTCAAATTTTTTAATTGTAGGATTTGAAAAATGTTTGGAATTTAGTTTATTTTTGAGTATTCTTTAGTGGGAAAATCCAGTTACAGGTTTGCCAATTCCTGTGTCTCTTCTCTCCCTTCCCCCCTACCCCTCCACTTTTAAAGGATTATATCTAAGCCTCTGAACCCAATCCTGCAAACCCTTACTCAGAAATAATCCTTTTGCTAATAGTCCATTGACTTCACATGAATAACAAACTTAGTGAATGAGTGCAGTTTTAGGCCCCAATCCTGCAAACACTTATGCATGCACATGGGACTGCTCATGCATTTAGTTGCCTGAGCCACAGGGCAAAATCCTGGTCCCATGGAAATCAGAGGGAATTTACATGGATTTCAATGGGGTCCAGATTTCACCCTTAGAGTTTAGTGTCTCTGCATGTACATTAACACACACATACATATGGCAACCTCTTTCTTGAAATAGCTTGGGTCTTCTCTCTATTCTCTCATATGTATGCTTGTTCTGAGTGCATAGGTAGGCAGACAGGGAGAGGATGGCTGGAGACATGAAGTCATGCTATATGTCTGTCTTTCAGGTCTCCAGGGAACCTGCTGCAGGTGGCCAGCAGGAAGAAAGAGGAAGACGAGGGGCAGGACTCCGCCGCGCCTTCCCTCCCGGCTCTGCTGGGGATCGCTGGACAGCTCCCCGCGGCCACTAGCAGGGCCTCCTTTCTGCTCCTACCGCCCCGGGGCCAGGCCTCACCTACTACCATCTTTCCCGTGCAGCTGAAGACGGGGACAGGAAGAAGCGGGGCGCAAAGCCCGATGTTTCGGAAAAAGCGTAAATGTGAGCGAATCCAACGGTCTACGCCGAGGCGGGCATTGCTAGGTCCGGGGAAATCCCCGCCTCCAGCCAGGCTTCCCCATTTCCCCCTAGTTCAGAGCTTTCGGACGTGCATGCCAATGCTTCCAATGCACATCGGGACTGAAAATCATTTAAGCATGTCAAGGAGAAGGGTCTGGAGTGTGTGTGGGGTGGTGGTGGTGGTGGTGGTGGTGGTGTGGGGGGGTTATTTCTCTCCCTATAGCTAACTGTTTGTGAACAGGTGCAGTCCTAGTTCCGCGTTAGAAACAGCCACACGTCCTGGCTCAACAATTCACTCCTCCCGCACTTCAGTGCAAAGCTTTTCACCGCTGCCTCCAGATCAGAACCACAATACACAGGCAAGGGCATAATCGCTGCCTCTATCACTGTAATTCTGGGATTTCCTGTTATTATGAATCAAATCGAGCAATCCGTTCCAAGCTACTCCCAAAATAATTATCCGGGCAGAGGAAAATTCCTGCATGCAGCCCTTTCCCCATGAAGTCAAATGAAATACACCAGGTATTGCACTGGTATCGCATTTGTATCCTATTGAAACTGATACTGTTACCTGTCAAACTTTTAGTATCATAACTGCAGCACCTTTTGCTAACAAGTAATTACGAGGCCACATTTCCCCCAGTTTTGGATACAAATTGGGTGGAATGAGGAATAATTTGCATATTAATGTAAACAGGCAGCAGCAAATCCTAACTGCAGAGATTTCTGATCCTAACAGGCAGCATCTTTAGGGCCAAAGGTATTATAACAGGATTCCAGATGGAATATAACCACCTCAAGTGCTGTGCTAGTCAGGGTTGCGCTGCGTGTTGACAGCAAGTCGTTAGTGTTTGCGAAGGGTTTGAGGCATCCACCGTGGCAGGCTCTAGGAGGGCGGAATATTGCTACGAATGGTGATTGTGGTTATTAATTGTGCCTTGTTGTTGCTCCGGCGGGACGATCCCTGGTGTAAGTGCCCCCGAGGGAGAAGACGGACGCACCCTTACCTGCCTGAGCAGCTCTTGCAGCACGGCTCGCCGCGCCCCGCCCGGGCTGTGTTGCACTGCAGGGAAGGTGGAATTCCCCGGGCAGGGGCGGGGCAGCGCTCGCGCTGGCTGGCAGCTGCTCCCGGGATTCTCCTCGCGCCCCCTCCCATCCCTCGCTCTTCGCCTCACGCTGCAGCTTTCCCGTCCTCCAGGTGACGTCATGCCCGTTGTTTTGGTTCGCCCGGCCAATCGGACTCGCCGGCTGGATTCTACGGGCGCCGGGATGGGCCCTTCGTGGCGGCGGCAGGACTCGCCGCTGCCGACCATAACGCATTGCGCAGGGTGCACCACCGCCTGGTCTTCCTGCAGCTTTAACAGCTCTGACATGGAAACGCCGCTGCAGTTCCAGCCGGGCTTCTGCTCAGAGCAGCAGCAGCGCCCGCGCCTGCATTGCCAGCAGCAGCAGCCGCCACCGGGCCAGGACAAGCAGAGCCTGCCCCAGCAGCACAGCCCATGCCTCCAGTGCAACAACTGCAGCTACTCTGGGGCTGCGGCGGGGGATAACTTGCCCCTGCTGCTCCGCACTTCCTCGCCCCTGTCGGGCGCTTTCAGGACCCACTCCTCGCCGCTCTCCTCCTCCGCCGCCTCCTCCAGGCAGGGCAGCCAGCTGAACGTGAGCGAGCTCACCCCCTCCAGCCATGCCGGTTCGTCCAGGCAGCCACACCACCACCAGTACCACCACCACCACCACCAGTACCACCAGTGCCATAGTCTGCAGCAGCAGGCAGCCAGCCCCAGCAGCAGTGTCAGCAGCGGCAGCACCCACCACCACCACCAGCCCCACCAGCGCCGGGAGAGCAACCCCTTCACCGAAATAGCCATGAGCAGCTGCAGGTACAACGGCGGCGTCATGCGGCCGCTCAGCCACCTGAGCTCGTCCCGCAGGAACCTCCAGGAACTGGACTCCGAGTCCCAGCCGCTGCAGCCGCCGCTCTCCAGCCCCGGCGCCGCCGCCGCCTCCTCAGCCCCGGAGATCGTGGTGTCCAAGCCGGAGCACAACAACTCCAACAACCTGGCGCTGCACGGCCCCGGCCCCGGGGGCAGCGTGGGGGGCAGCAGCCAGAACAACAGCGGCAGCAAGTCCAGCAAGAAGAAAAACCAAAACATCGGCTACAAGCTGGGGCACCGCCGAGCGCTCTTCGAGAAGCGCAAGCGGCTCAGCGACTACGCGCTCATCTTCGGCATGTTCGGCATCGTGGTGATGGTCATCGAGACCGAGCTGTCCTGGGGCGCCTACACCAAGGTACCTGCCCCTCCCCGCTCGCCTCCCTTCCAAAGCGCTAGCTGCCAGCCACCCACCTTCACTCCTCCTGCTGCTGGGCTTGCTTTCTCCCAGACACCAGCTTCCTACCCACCCTTCCCTCCTTCTGCCTTCCGCGCTCTCTCCAAGGTCCCAGCCAGCTGCTTGGTCTGTCACTCAGTCCGCCTTTCCCCCGCGGAGAGCGGCTCCCACCCAGTGCATGCCCTGCAGACACTTTCTACATTCACTTGCCAGTGTCACCAGTGTCCGTTAGGCGCTGCTCCTTTGCGACATGCGCTACATACCTGGGAGGGAAAGGATGAGGAGGAGGGAGAGAAGGGATTTAAGAACAACTTGAAAACAAAACTGTGTTTTCTAAGTCAGCGGTTTAAATCGCCACGCTCAACTCTTCATTCTGCCAACCAGGGTCAATTTCTTTGGATTTGTGTAATTCCATAGACTTGAGAGAGAGACTTTTTTCCCCTCTCCATCCCATTGGCAGTCCCTAGAGTAAATTGGTTTCCCAGTGCTGGCTGTCCCACCTGTACTGGACTTGCTGCTGAAGCAATGACAAGTAGCCGTTTTGATTTAGGGCACCTATTCTTCATCCTTAAAAGAGAGAAATCCAGTCAGTAATCCTGGTCTCTGTTATGCAAGATAGATTTTCCCCCCATCACAGTTCAGAAGGGTGAAGGACAAAAAGTCTTTATAAAGGTGTATATCTTTTCATGGACACTCAAATATTTTTCTGTTGCAGGAGTCGCTGTATTCATTAGCTCTAAAATGCCTTATTAGCCTCTCCACGATTATTCTGCTTGGTCTTATTATTGTATACCACGCAAGGGAAATTCAGGTAATGTTTCACTTTATAAACTACCAAACATTGAAACTGTCGGTAATGAAAAGACTCAGTTTTCAAAGGGTATTCTTTGGTGAGTAGTTACTCTTTTCCAGTATTTCAGAAAACATTCACTTTGTTTTTGGTGCAGTTTACTGAATCTATTTCAAAGGGATCTTAGAGACTAAATATAATAAATTGATATTCCTATTAGAAGTTATAAAAATGTCTGTAATATGCTGCATAATCACTTATTCTGAATGACTGAATAGAGTATTCTGTGTACACTTGTTGTTTTATGCTATAAGGGGAATTTTTAGCCCAGAATTTAGAACTATATTATGCTGATCCAGACATCCTCATTAGATCACATGATTAATTGTAGGGAGACTTCAGTCACCTCTAGATATGAAGTCTTAACCATGCTGTCCTAAACACTGAAGATAAGACAATAGTTGGAAAGAAAAAAGATAAATAAAACAAGCCATAGAATGTTTAAACTGTAAACAGATATTTTTAATGCCACAGAAATTATAGGCATCTAGTAAAGAAATGTGAGAAAAAAATGTAATGGTCAACAAGTGTTGCCTTCATTAGTATTTAAAAATGTACCTATTCAGGGCTTGTAGACTTCCTTCCATAAATAACCCAAATTTTCAGTTGGGATTTTGCTTAGCTAAGGAGTGAAAGAAGGATTGGATTTATAATCAAATAAGGATAATCTCCACATTAATTTTTCCTTGGTGTTTTATTCCTAGATGCATATAATGCTATTGTTATTTCCTGCTATAGAGAACTTGTGGCTTAAAGCAGTAGTGAATATTTTCAAGGACAAAGAAGCTTTTTTTGTGTTGTATCAATTAACAGAAAGAAAAATGGAACACTTATAAAGGAACTATAATATAGTTGTTGTTGCAGCTGTGTTGGTCCCAGATTTTAGAGAGACAAGGTTAGTGGATCAACTTCTGTTGGTGCAAGAGACAAGCTTTTGAGCTACAACAAAGTTGGTCCAATAAATGATCTTACCTCATCCATTTTGTCACTCTGTAATATAGTTGTTATATAAGAGTAAGTACAGGCTGCTACAGTAACCTGCTAAGGTTAGAGTAAAATAATACTGTTTTATCTGAGACCATTTGCAAAATAGGACCCTGATCCTGCAGTCCTTATACGTGCAAAACTCCCATTTCTGAATCAGGCTCTAGTTTCTTTGCACTAAGATCATAGAGCTAGGAAACCTGTTAATTAAATTCTTCTTGAGTAGTTGCTGTGGAAGTGTTAATATAAACTATTGGAGGACTTAAGAAAAATAGAAAAAAATTTGTTGATATTTCTGTAATGCAGAGATTTTTTTCCCTCACAGTGCTTTTCATAATGAAAATTGTAGAAGTGTGTTATGTAAAAATAACCTTCCTAGATATTTCAGTTGCTGTATGCAATTCTGTTAAGAAACTTTAAATAGAAAATAAAATTATCTTAATATTTCTTTATATCTATGTATACATCAGTTAATTTTCCAAACTACAGTAAAATAAAAATTTTGAAAGTACTCAAACATTTGTTCATTAAACAATCGCCATGTGTAGATTATTGCCCTGCCCCCCAAAAACCAACTCACAACCCTAACCAAAATAAATAATATTAAGAAAAAGCCCAAAGATTTCTGAAGTTTGAAGAAGTTAATGTTTTGTAGAGAAATGTGCCTACAATTGTATTCATAAGGGAACTCAAATAATCTACAACAGATCCAAAAAATATATCACTGATTTTGTCCTAGGATTTTGATTAGTACTAATTATTTAGAAAGACCATAGATTTACATTTGTCGGCTAAATTTTTGCAAATAATTGCTACAGCTGGTAGTAAAGCTGAATCTTGTGCATCTTTCTGTATGTGTCATCAGTTGTTAACAAAAGATAAAATAATCCAGGACTTCTGTTCTTCAGCTAATATATATGAAATCAAATACCTTACAGTACGGTTGCCAACAGTCCCTTATTACAAGGGATGTCTCTTATTTTTTTATCTCTGTACAACAAGATCGGGAGTTGCTGAGTGCTGCAAAAAGCAGCAAGAAATACCCCCGGCGAATGTAGGTGAGTACAGGGGGAGGGGAAGGTGCTAAGGAAACAGTCCCTTATTTTTTGAAATACAGTGTTGGCAACCCTACCTTACAGTGACTCATTTGTTTTTCTGGTCGGTAATAAACAAAAATGCAACTTTGGTTGTATTTCTGTGAATTCTTCTGGGTTTGGTGCCCCTCTTAGAGAGCTTCCCAGTAAATGAGATGATATAGAATGAGTAACACCATCTACTAGCTTAATCAAAGTTAATATAGTTTAACACTGCCTGACAGCACTAAAACTAAAAACATACGTAGGGCTTGTCTACACTACCTGCCAGATCCAGCAGGGGTCGATTTATCGCAGATGCAATAAATCGACCACTGAGCACTCTTTCGTCAACTCTGGTACTCCACCAGAACGAGGAGCGCAAGCGGAGTCGACAGGAGAGAATCAGCAGTCAACTTACCGCAGTGAAGACACGGTGATAAGTAGATCTAAGTACGGCAACTTCAGCTATGCTATTCATGTAGCTGAAGTTGCATATCTTATATCGACCCCACACGGTAGTGTAGACAAGCCCTTAGTTGCAAAATAGTGATACAGTTTCTTTTCATCAGGAAGGTACTATAGACTGCCAATAGTTGTAGGGTTTTGGATAAACTGCAGATCTTCAGGGCTCAGTTCATTTACCTGGACAATGAAGAAGGAGATCTCTTTCCAGCAACATGGGAAAGGGCACTATATCGCCTTTAAGCTGACAACATTAAATATCCTCTTGATTTAGAGGCAACCTACTTAAAACTTTTTTATTCCCCTTTCTGTAAAAAAACACAAAAAGCAACATAAAGAGCCATATACGTAGCAAATAATAACTGGGTATATAAGTGAATGTTACACTTCATGTCTGAATACAGTGGACACAA